TGTGGCGGGCGGCGGGGGTGCCTGGGGCCTGCCTTCTTGGCAGCCTCCCGACTTCTCCACATACCAGCCAAAGGACTTTCTTGTTTTTAATTATTGGCTGCGCATCCTTCTGCAAAAAGGAGCCCATGGTATCAGGAGGGAGGACGCAGGGTAATTACCAGGAGCAACTAATTAGCTGTTTCCTGAGCAACAATGGCAGAGTGGGCAGCTCAGAGCAGGGTGGGCAGCTGCTGGTGGAGAAGCACCACCCTGGGTCAGGGGACGTGGAGCCTTCCTGGGGCAGGGACAGCTGCCCTCCATCGGCCACTCGCAGCCCTCTGTGGACTTCTCACGGCCATCCAGGGGCTACTCACAGCTTTCCATGAGCCACTCAGTCCTCTGTGGACAGCTCTCAGCCCTGCATGGGCTCCTCATGCCCCGGGGCAGCTCGGCAGGCAGCAGCACGGCAGCAGCATTTCCCTGTCCCAACATGTGCCTGCTGCAGGCTCTACTCTAGTGTCCTTGGGAGATGCTCCACGGGGCTCTGGCCACCTCGTGGCACATGCCAGCCAGAGCGACCAGTTGGCAGCCGGGTTTCTGCCCAGTGTGTCAGGGGAAGCTGCCCTGCCCTGAGGGGTCGGTCCTGGGCCCTGCCCGGGAGCTGCCCCGCGGGGCTGGGGGTGGGGAACGGGTCTGGGAAATGGGGCTGCTGCAGCCGGGGGTGGGGAGAATGGCCCCAGGGCCACGGACACCTGCGAGGGCAATCCCAGCAAGCCCGGGCAAGCTGGTGTGGGGGCTCATCTTTGTGTCCAGCCCCCTGCAGTTCTCCTTTTGGCCCCGTTCCTGCTTCTCACCTCCGTATTGATTTTTCCCAGGCCACGTTGCAAGGTGTAAACGTGCCGTGGCACCAGCTCTGCCAGCAGCCTCGTCACCACTCCCTCCATCCGGGCTGCGTCACCCGGGCCGGGGGCCCTGCCCGTGCCCTGCCACGGGAGGCCGTGCAGGGTCCAGTGCCTGGTGTGTAACATTGTCATCTCACCACGCTGCTGTCCTGCTGATGTGCTTACCCGATAGCTTCATTCTAGATCATTGTTAATTTGCTAATTGAGTTGGGGCGATGCCAACAGCCACCTGATCTGTGATCTGAGGATTTTAATTGGTCACAAGTTTGCATCATGGCTGGTAGTGATGCCCTGTGGCAAAGCTGCAGACCAGGGTTTGCTTGCCCCAGTGTGACCAGTGTCCCCTCACTGCTGCTCAGGGGGGTTCCAGCAGCATCCTCAGTGTTCCCAAGGTGCCTCCATGCCTGCAGCCATCCAAGGGCTGGGGCTGCTCCTTCCTTGCTGCCAGAGGATGACTTGCCAGAACCCAGGGGGTGCCAGGATGAGCTCCCAACAATCCTGGGGACAAAGTGGGGTCAAAAGCCACTCTGGCCTCTCTAGTCAGCACACCAGGAGTGAAGAGGCAACAACCAGGCACTGGAAAGGCTCTCATTTATTAAAAGGCACTTAGACTGGTAGAAAAAGAGCTGCAGGGCTGCCCAGCAGCCCCAGCGCTGGAGCAGAGCTGTGGGTGTGGAAGACCATCCGGGGTGCCTGGGGAGTGGGGTGGGGGGCTCCTGGCACCCCAGGGTATTGCTGAGCCCAAACCCACCATCACCAAAGGCCTGAGGGCTGGAGGGATGTGGTGGCAGAGGCAGGAGGTGCCCTCCTGCAGCCCCAAACCTGCCAGGAGCAGGTGGCCCTGGGCTGATGGGGACAGTGGCAACTGGGACCAGTTCATGCTGGAGCAGACTGGCACAGGAGGGGGTGGGGGGGCTCCTTCATCAGTCCATGAACATATGAGCTTCTTCCTTGGGAGGTCCCCTCAGGCATGGAGGGGTCGGTGGGGCCTGTCTGGCCCTGGTGGGTACTGCCAGAAGAGCCAGAACCGCAGGACACTGGTGATGATCCCTGGCACGTTGGGGACCTGTAGGAGAGGATCTGCTGCTGCCCTCCCCCACTGCCACCACCCCCCCCCATGTTGCCGGGGGAGATTTATTGGCCTGATCCCATCTAATTAATTAAAATCAATACTCATCTCGTTTAGTCTAGTCACAGGCTCTGCTGTGTGACACACGTGACAGCGGACAGGGCCCGGCCCAGTGCCAGGCACCCAGCTGAACCCCGCAGGGGCAGGGTGGGATGGAGTGGGATGGGGATGGATGTGGTGGGATGAGATGGGGCAGAATAGAATGGGATGATGCAGGAAGGGATGAGACAAAATAGGATGGGAATGGGATGGGATAACACAGAATAGGATGAGGAAGGAAAGAATGGGGTGGGGTGGGATGAGATGGGATGGACGGGATGGGGCAGGATGGAATGGGATGGGGTGGGATAGGAAGTGATGGGATGGATGAGATAGGAAGGGATGGGATAAGGATGGATGGGATGGGATGAGCCAAGATGGGATGGAACAGGAGAGCATCTCCGGTCCTGCCACCCCAACCCACCGTGATGTAGGGGTCGTGGAGCTGCAGGCCGTAGAGTGTCCAGCTGGTGGAGGCCAGGAAGGTGGTGACAGTCAGGGGGAAGGACAGACAGCGTGTTGACTTGCTCCGCACAATCTTGGCCTGCAGAGATGAGCGTCAGGCTGGTCCCAGGCTGGACAGTCCCCCTGGCCATCTCCACAGATGCTGCCCAGCCCCACGCACCAAGTCAGCCAGCGGAGAGAGGTACATGCTGATGGTGAAGACACTGCAGAAGAGCCCCAGGTGCCCCAGGCGCGTCGCCATGTCAGGGATCAGGAGGGTGAAGTAGCCGTAACCAGCAACCAGCACAGCCAGGAGCAGCAGGCTCCGCAACAGCACGGGGCGCTGGGGTGAGAGGGGAGGGTGGTCAGAGTGAGGCCTCCTCAGATCCTCCACTGATCCAACTGGGCTGGTCCCCACCTTGGCGGGGCTGTAGTAGAGGTAGACCAGGACAAAGAGGGTCTGCAGGGCTGCCCCGATGGTGTTGACAGTGATGAGGGTCCAGTCCTGCTTCAGGCAGCCGTAGCCCAGCCAGCTCAGGTTGCTGCAGGGAAAACAGCACTGGTGCTGCACCCAACTACCATGTAAGCCCCCCCTCCCCCCACAATTGCACGTGACACCCCCAGGGCTTGATCCCACTGTACTTGACATCGGTGGTGAGGAAGGGCAGGAACTGGATGTTCTCCACGCTCTTGGTTGCCAACATCTGGCGCAGGTCGGACCTAGAGGGGGAGCAGCCTGCTGGGTGCCCAGCACCACAGGGGTGGTCTGCAGTGCTGGGGTGGCTACAATAACTGCAGTCAACAAGAACCATCCCAGAATGTGCACCCTGAAATGCTTTCAGCTCTTCCTGCACTTGTGACCATTCCTCCTCCAGCCCCTACAT